CAATTGCGTTCATTTGAACATTTTTCAATAAGCTTTTAATAGTTGCCTTTTATAGTCCAGGCTCTCCTATAAAGGGTAAACAGATCCACGTTCCTGGGTGCAGGTAAAAATTACAACAGTGTAGAGAAGATGGCGAGGAGAAAGAAAAGTTCCTTTTCCACCTACCTCTACTTCACATATTTCTATCTAATGCTCATCCTCAACTTATCCAGAAAGCACACCTACCATATTTATTTCCACTGCAAACACCTTCCACCATACCTGCTACATATGTGGAATCTGCGATACACAGATGACCTACCATCAAAGGGATGTGCGGCCTGAGAACTCTGGGAAGCTGTGATGCAGCCTTTAGTGTGTTTTTTTGGAAATTACAGACCACCTGCCCTACCGAGCACTAAACCGAGATGCTCTAGGTTCATGCTTGTACATGCTTGTGTTTCAGAGCAGTGTTTTCCAAGCTTCAGTGGGCAGAAACGTTACTGGGGAGCTTGAGGAAAAATAGAGAGCTCGGCCCCATCTTCAGAGATTCCGATTCAGTAAGTCTGAGGGAGAACCCAAGAATTTTCATTTCTCGCCAGCTCTCCACAGGGTCTAAGAAATCCTTCCTTGGATCGCACTTGGAGTTACACTGTTCTAGAGCCTTTGGCTTAGAGAGGGATGTGGGGTGGGCTGAGCAATAAATGAAACCTGATTTCTAAACTGTATATTCTAAAGCTAAAGACCATTTGGACGAATAATTAAGGAATTTCGTGAGATGGTAATTTTAGTGTTCGTTTGTTGATTTTGGGTTTAGGTTTGGTGGCTGTGTGACCAGGTCAAGTCATTATATTTTTCTGTATCTCAACCGTTATCCCAAAAAAAGGCTAATTTTTAAAAATTAAAAGCTTTTTTATTGGTCTCCTTTTCTCAGAGATGGATGCTAATTCCGAAAATGCAAAAGAGCTTTCAACTGTACTATTCCACTAACCTAGCCTTCCCTGGGTCTGGCGGGGACAGGTCAGCGTAGACCAGCCATGCTCCGTGCAAAAATAACGAAACAAAGCCAAGGACCGAAGAGATGCCTGGGCCGAGGGACCCTGTCATCCAGGGATGGGATCAGGCTGAAAGGGGTGAGAGGAAAGGGGAAGGAACCCTGTCTACACCTGCACCTTAAAACTGGAGTGAACCCAACTTTTAGCACTAAAAAACAAAGGAAGGAGAGAGAGAGAGAGAGAGAGGAAGAGAGAATTGATTCAGTTAAGGACTGAATGTCCCACTAAAAGCTGGATGAATAACAAGCATATGCCTGAACCTGGTGAGGAATGAAAGCAGAGACACACAATTTGGGGCCTTCACTCTCCCGGGTATGAGCCATAGAGACAGAAAGGCTTCTGGGTACACACACACACACACACACACACACACACACACACACGTGCACACGCACAGCCTGGGGGGCAGACTATGTGCACAACTCAGATACCAACTGTAATTGCCACTGGATGAACAGGAAAATGACGCCAAATTAACGCACATTAGAAATCCTTCCCTATCTAATGAAGCCATCAGCAATTTTAATTTCATTTTTCATTTGTTAGTTAAAAAAGAGAGAGCACTCAGCAAGTGATTATCTCCCAGACCTCCGTGGGTGCTTCTTCAGCTTCGCACTTGCACTTGTCAGCAAATGTGATCAGAAATAAAACTGCTCCAAATATTTGCCCTCCAGATTTTTTTTTTCAGGTTTAAAAAATAGTGAACTTGCTTTCTTTTTTTCTTTTTTTCCCCCTGAGATTGGAATCTGTGAGGTGCTCCCTGCACAGTGGGACCCTACCAAGGAGAGGAAAAGACGTCATAACACGGGAGTCCCGGATGCTCCAGCCATTTCGTCTTGAAAGCAGTTTTACATAACCCTGCAGGCAGCGCTGACTCAAACCACCTGCCCTAAGGTGACTAGTTACTGCCAAGGCTTGCTACAGACAGCCTTCTCGAACAAGAGGGCAGAATCGGATCCAGCCTCCGAGACGTCCTACTCCAGGTCCTTCACAGTAAAGACGAGGGCTTCCATCAAGGCCGCCCAGCTGTTGAGTAGCAGAGCTGGGTCAAAACCTTACTACCAGCCCAGGTTCTTCTTCATTGTGCAGGAATACGTTCCCTGATGAAATGGAAACAATGCTCTAAACTGAAAAGCAGCCTTTCTGCCCTCAGAAGTGAGGACTTCTAACACTGCCAGGTAGAATTTAAGAGGAGCACAGATGCTATCTGAAATCTTAAGGCCCCCTCGCCTGCAGTCAGCACACTGCATGATCTCTTGTGTTATTTGTATGCATGTCTGTTTTCTCAGAAAGTTGCACTGTCTCACCAGGGAGGGACTATCTAGTCGTCAGCCAGCCAACTGCTCGTCATAGACTTTGTACATAACGAATATTCGATACACTTCTTTAAAAATAGATGAGTGCCCCAAACACCCAACAAAGCAAGGATAGCAAGTATATTCTGTGGATTGAAAAATAATTATCTAAATTTTCTGAAATAGGAAACTCGGGGAGGAAAACTTGCCTAAGTATGGAGAATTACCAGGGACTAAGTTCTAGACTAATGTACATTTTCCCAGAGCCCAGTCATTCAGTGATTCTCCTTTCTTCACTTTTTAGGACATTTTGTTGTCTTAATTGAAAGCCTTGCACACCTCTGATCAACCTCTGTCCCTCCTAAGGGACCAGCACACACGCAATCCCTGCGGAGAAGCTTCGTCAGCCCTAATTGAGTCACAATACTAACCTAAATTAATTAGACTTTAGAAAGTTGTCAATGCTCTTAAAGGTAACCTGAACTCTGACTCCTCCACAGCCTTCACGGGGAGTAAGTGTTCAAGTTCTAAAACCCTGAAATCCTGCTGGTAACCCCTGAACAAAGACCCCTTTCTTCTCAAAGACATTCACTCCATTGGCTTTTTATTTCCATGCCGCACAGAAATAAAAACAGAACATCAGACTCCAAGAAGAATCCCAGAACTTCAAAGTATAAAAAGCCTATTTCTGTAGTAGTTTTCCAAAGAAGCAATCTGGCGTCAGCTTCTCGCCCCTTAGTGGAATCTCCAGCTCAGCAGAGTGTCACAGAGTTCCTGGAAACCAAAAGCATCCCTGACAGAAGCAGAACCAAGTGTCTTCAGGTCTAAAAGTCATCGAATCAAACAAATAAAATTAAACCTCTTAAATCTCCAGGTCTTGCCACTGCAGTAACCCAAACATACTCAAAGCTTCCATCCATTCATTTGACCACCAAAAACTGTCTATAACAGCTTAACGTTAATACTTGGCAGTAAAATTTGCAACTTTATTCTCAAGGCATCTTTATTTTGCCTTCGATGAGTAAAAGCATCATTTAAAAAAGAGCTACCACCATATTCTTATAAAACACCTTTGAATCGAGAACCCAAACTTATCCAAAGGTGTCTTCCTATAAAGATCCTCATATCCGGGTGACAGGTGGCACACAGGTATTTCTATCCCCGTTTTAAAATGAGGAAACAGCCTCAGGGACTTGGCCTAAGTGAGTCAGTCATGAGCCTGAAATAGAAATGAAACTTCAAGATGACCTTGAATCGAATCCAGCCAGAAAAGGTGCAAACTGCTAGTGATACTCGTTTCGCCTAACCAGACTCCAGAAAATAAGTCAGAATAGCCTCATAAAAAACAGGCATGACTGTCAAACCCTAAGCATTATCCTACATATGCCATTACTTTGGCAAATGAGCCACATAAGCTTCTGTTTGGGGGGATAGCCATATGTTATATATGCTGTCTCTACACTGCCTCGTTTTCCTTCCTATGTGTAATCCATAGACGCTAAAATGACTACTTGTCTCACGAAACTACTTGCTACAATATGTGCTTATCCTTGGTTTCACATTTCATTGTAAAATCTAATGAAGAATTTTTCTTAATTGGTATTAGGATCAGAGGCATAGTCAGAGGAGACTGCTCATACCGTTGAAAGCAAAGTCACTTCTAAAGACGTCTTCTAAAGACCGAGGGACTCCGTCAGGGCCACTCAACTATCTAGGAGCTGAGCCGGGTCAAAATCGAGAACACGGGTCTGACTACGAACCAACACCCTTCACTTTGTCGGTCCCCAATTCAGTGGAAACAAATCTCGAAACTAGAAGCAACCCTTTTGCTCCCAGATCAATCAGGACTTCTAACATTGACAAGATGAATTCCAGGGGAGCACCAAATACCTGTGTGAAACCTTCTTGTCTCTTCAAAAGCCCTTTCTCAGCCCTGCTTTCCCACTCCCATGTATCTGACGCTCCTCCAGTGAATTTGGACTTGCTCGTGATGAGAAAAAAGACAGGGCCGAAAAGTCTGGCCACCATCAAAGTGCCCTCCCCACATCGAAACATGCACAACTATCTCTGCTCTGTGGGAGACGAAAGGCATAAAAGATGAGGAGAAGGGAAAATGGCAGAGGAGCCATGGCAGAAGTGCGTCCTAGCAAAACTTGCACCCTGCTACAAATTGAGGGGTGTAATATAGCGGGGGCAGGAAACTCCCCAAATCAAAAGCAACAAGAAAATCAAAACTCTGCCACCTCGAGCAAATAACAAAATTCGCAGACTATTCATTTCCCTGAGAGTAACCCGAGGCTCTCCAGTGGCTTGGCGGGAGGTCATTCAATTCGTAAATAAGATTTGGGAGGGACCTGGACTCTCTCCTTCCTTTTGAACACATCACTCCAACTCCCTAAGCTAAATTCTTTCTTGCTTAAATCTCTGAGAACGTGAAGGCTCCTTGGGACCACGCCTTCAACCCAGAAAACAGAAAAGAAGGCCCTCTTTCCATTCCATGTAAATTATGCTTTGTTATCTAAATGCCTGTCTAGACAGGGGGTTCTGTGAGGGCAGGGACTGGGGCTGTCGGGGACACCTAGCACGGTACCTGGATCATGGTGGGCATTTGGTGCACCTCTTACTAAATGGACGATTTGCCGTAACAGGATGAAACCTGAATTCTACTTACACTTATGGGAGAGAAGCACATCAAAGGAATCTGCCCACCTTGTGGCTTCTTCCGTGGATAGTCTCCTAGAAAAGAAGAAATGTCCCTCTTGAATATTTCTGAAATGACCGTCTCCTTTAACCACCGCCGAGGTTTACTTAGGAGAATGAATCAGAATAACCGGGGTCAAACGAAGACCATGCCCGGATCCCTGAAATTCTGTCACTGTAAATTTGTATATTCTGAAGTAACTGATAGAAGAAAATCCCAAAATTGGAATTCAGTGAATTTAGTATATTGACTTTCAGCCTGAAAAACAAAGCTAAGTAAATCCATGATTTAAAAAGGTCAAGATAACAATGGAAAGAAGCTGATCTTGGAGTCAGAAAAGTTAGGCTGAACTCATGACTCTTACTGTCGCCTTAATTTCTTTGACTTTGGGGGGACACGTACACCCATCATGGAACCTGCGAATGTTAAATGAGGTAACATCAGTGACATCCTGTAACCCAGTGCCAGCAGTAGAGGCACTGAATCCAGGTTATCTGAACCCAAGCAGATCTTGACAGTAGATTGGAGTGTTCGATTCCAAATCAAGAGCTCGGATTGACAACTAAGTAGAATCAAAAAACGTCCTTCACCGCGGCTTTGTCAGAGTGGTGAGTAATGTGGTTTTCTTAAAAGTGAAAGGAGTAAAAAAAGTATTCTGCATTAAGTCATATGTTTTGAAAAGGAAAATGAACATTCTCTCTTGTGTCCAGGGATATAAAAGAAGCTGCCAAGAGGCAGGGGGTCCAAACCTCACTAGAGAAGACTGGGTCCCATGGCCCTATGGTGGGCACCACACAGTGGCCACCCAGGGGTGCCAAGCGCCCATGCTGCTCACTACTCACTTCAGAGCACGGTTGGGTTTGTCGGGAAGAATCGCTGTGAAATCACTACACGAGTCTGACTTGTGAGACAGGCATCCCAGTCGAGTCCTCATCCCTTTGTTCCTGCAACAAGCACAGGGGCAGAAGGACGGGGACTGTCATGATAATAGCTGTCAGCTCCACAAAGAGCCCCCGGAGCTGCTGCCGAAGGAGCCAGCACTGCCTCCCCGCTCCCCGTCCCTCCCCGGGCGGCCCCTGAAGATTTTATGAACAAGAGGAGAAACACCTAGAAGATCAAGGGACACTCTCACTCCCTGTCTTGACTACAGGAATAGTAATAGGTCCCCTGCCCCTAGAGGCCTAATGCTTTTTAAAGCTGACATGCAAGTTGATGGTAAGTCAATGAAGGTCGTTAGCTTGGAAGAATTTCTAAATTA